ACACACACACACACACACACACACACACACACATACATACATTGGCCTTTAAAAAGAAAGAAATCTTGCCATACATGTCATAAATGAACTTGGAGGACATTATCCTAAATGAAACAAGTTATTCACAGAAGAATAAAACCTTTAGGCTGCTACTAATAGAAGGTACATAAAATAGCTACGCACTCAGAAAGCAGAGTAGATGGTGGTTGCCAGGAACATAGTGGAGGAGAAATGTGGAGTTGCTGTTCAGTGAGAATAAACCATCAGTTATAAAACAGAATTAAATTCTACAGATTTTCTATGCAACATTGCACCTATAATTAACAATTGTATATTGTTTAAAGATTTGTTAAGAGGGTAGATCTCAAGTTGTTACTTTTATAATAATAAAAATTTAAAATAATTTAAAAGAAGGAAGTTTAATCAGGTAGGACAGTATTATAATACTTTAGTTAAGACATAATGATCATGATTTTATGCCCTTAGAATTTGTGACCTGTTTTTTTCAATGATTACTCATATATTAGTGTTGTTCTTATTTTCCTACCCCAAATCATTTTTTAAATATTTCTCAAATAATCATATATCTTTTTCTTCAGAGACAGTGGGCTAATTGACAACACTGGCTCTGCAAAACACATGTAATCCAAATGCTGCTTGACACCTGCAGTAAGTACCTGACGGTAGTCCTCTTATTACTTGCCAAAACATCCCCCGTCACTATTTTGCATTTACTTCATAGAACTTAGGATCATCTTCTGTCATCTCTGAACCAGCTGTTCTGATTGTGAACTTCAAATAGTTTCCCTAATCATCAGCCTCCCATGACTGTGTTTTAAATTCTACAAACAATCTGGGATGAATTTAGAAATGAAGAACAAAGCACATATGAGACTCCATATTTGACAGCTTGTGCCTTTTAATGGCATCTGTCATCATATCTTTGAAAAGGTATTTATCACCACAGTTCCCCACTGTACTGCTGTGAAATGGCGGCCCTTTTATCTTCTTCACGCAAATGTTTTATGTAAGCAAGATCCTGGGATGAGAATAGGAATATCATATTTGACAAAGAACTGATTTCTCTGTGCTTTGGAAAAATTTAAAGTGTGCCTTACATCCTATATTCATATAAAATTAGATATGGGATATTTTCCCATATTGTACAATGCCCTCTCCTACTATTACCAGGTTGACATATTACACATGGACTCAGCTTCACACACGCATGGAATACATGTGGTAGAGCAGGGCAGGGTGATGGTCAGAGTTAATTAAGGGTCGACGTTAATATTTGCGGCTTTGAGCATTTCCATTGTCCTTACCTCATTTGAGAAATGCAAAATTACATTTAAATATAATTAAGTTTCTTTGTTGTGTGAAAGTTTACACATTTTTGTAATAAGATAAAACTTCCAGGTTTAGTTTTTTAACAAAATGGCCCATGAATTACTAAGAAAAAGGACAGATTAGATCTGTCACCCTACTTGTTTCAGGCAATATATTACAAAGATAAATATTTTTACTCATTAGATGCTTCCCAAACTACTAACTCACAATATAAAGTAGCTTTTCTTCTAGAACATTTCCATCGTATGTATGGAATGTTTTACTATAAAGAAAAACATCAGTTTGTTTTTTAGAGTACTGAAAATTGAACCCAAGTTCATTGCACTGAGCTACATATCCAGCCTTTTTTTTTTTTTTTTTTTTTACTTTTTATTTGGAGATAGGATCTCTTTAAATCATTAAATTGCCCAGGCTAGGCACAAATTTGTGATCCTCCTACTTCCACCTCCTAGAGTTCTGGGATCACAGGAATACACCACTACACTCAGTTTATATAATTGTTTATACACAATGCAAAACCATAGCTCTAAAAACATTTTCTTTAAGGCCCATGTCAGATTTAGGATTCTTTTATTTTCTCCCACCTTCATTAACTAATGATACAAAGTTTTCCTCTCCTCTTCCTTTCAGCATTTCCCCAGTGCCCTTCTCTGAGTAGTGTCAAAGTTTGCTTGGAGACACCAGATTATGAAACAAATTAATCTCCTCAGCAGTAATACTGGACACAAAAATCTTTCCTGTTTGGCAAGAGTCAGACTTTCCATTGGGGACTGGCCATCTCTAGCTCCACAAATCTGCTTCTGCAAGCTTTTTGTTTGAATTGAACGTACTAATTCTATAAAATATAACATGATCAAATGCCTTCTCTTTGTTTTTTAATCCAACCATTCCCTTTTTATTTGCTTGACAGACATTCTGCAGAGTATAACAATTGAAACTATGAATAAACTTCATAGCTATTCCTGGAAAGGTAATTCAAGGCCTTTTATTTTACAAACAATTCCTACCTGCAGAAAATTAATAATTTAAGTTCATAGAAAAATGTTTAGTGTAAGATAGAGTGTGCGTCACAGATGCCAGTGAGTTGACTTGCTATTGTAGTGGTTTCTATCATTTTCATGCCACTTGTTTTATGAGTGAGAGTAACTGATGCTTCAAAAGGATAAGCGAAGGCACTGTGTTTATCTCTTCAACCATCTAAACTGGCATGAGCCCTAGTAGAGAGGATAGCAAGGGTGGTCAGGAGCCCTAGTAGAGAACTGAGTTAGTCACACATTTTTAGAAGCAGGGAACGAGCTTGGGTTTCTCTTCCCAAAGAAAGAGTAAATTATCTATTAGTCATAGTCATATACAGTACAGGCTAAAAATTTACTTTCTAGAGCCTCACTATCCCCCAAATAAAAGAGTAGAGGGCCAAGATAATCAGTTATAAATTCCTTGTGTGTGTCTGTGCTGTTTTTGTTATTGCTGTTGCTAATCAATTTCCAATGGCAAGAAGTACCATTTACTATCAAAATGTGATCTCAGTATTTTACCTTTCCTTATACAGTTAAATATAAAATTTTAGACTATATATAAATATATATCAAGAAGACTTTCTTCTACTTTTCATTATTCTTTGACACTGTGTATTCTTATCCTGGGACAAGACTATGACAAATACACGTATTACACAGTGCTTCTCAGAGTTGCAGTATATGCAGTAATGTACAGGGGCTATCGCTTCTGTCAGTTTCCTCCCTATAGCTTTGCTAGCTTGAACATTGTTCTTCAGTTGCACTCACACTTCTGCTGTCAATTTCACACCACCTGCGTCCCTTGTCTGCTTTATTTCCATCGGTGACAGTAGTCAATTGTTTTAGACTATAGCTTTTTAAGCGTTTGTAACCTTATATATATGTGAAATTAAAGACAGAGCAAATGAGGATTTACATTACTTCTAATTTTTCATAAAAATATGTGGTTATAGAGCCCAATATATGTACTTAATATGTTACTTAAAATCGCAAGCAGTGTCACACGTATTATAGTAGAATCCACTGAAATTAGTTTATTAGATTCTATGGATCTTAAAACAATTTAAAACAGCTATAAAATGCATGTTAGTAATACCTGCTACCCTTACTGCTTACTGTCTTTGTTTTTAATTGTTTGTTTGGAATTATATGATCTGCATTTAAATTCTTTTGGTGCTTGGGCTGGGGATTTGGCTCAATGGTTCTGCCGCCTGCCTCACAAGCGCAAGGGCTGGAATTCAATCCCTGGTACTAAAAAAAAAAAAAATCTTTTGGTGCTTAATGCACATAATAATATTGCTTTGAAAAATACAAAAAATAATATTTCATGTATATAAATACTTTATCCCATAAGTATGTTATTTGTGTATCCAGCAATCTTTTTCAGATTTCTCCATAATTTACCTTAGTTTGCAAGCTTCTATACTACTTCGAATTATTCTTTTAAACATTCAATTTTGTTTTGTTTTGTTTTGTTTTGTTTTGGTTTTTGGTACCAGGGATTGAAACTGGGACCTTGTGCTTATGTGGCAGGCAGCAGAACCACTGAGCAAAGTACCCAGCCCAACATTCAATTTTTTTGAAGGTATATAAATATGAAAGAGACACCTTAATTTGAATGGGATATTAATTTACTTTGTCTAATTATTTGACTGGAGTTTCTGGACCTAAAATTTTTGTCTACCATCAATTCTAGTCATATAAAAGAGATATTTTATGTATTTAGCTTAGCAAGCATTAATCTCAAGAATTTTACTATAGCTTTCATTTAAGTGTTTAAATTATCTTATAAAATTTCTTAGATTTATAAAAAGTTATTTTGCAAGCCAGAAGAAATTCCTGCATAACATAACACATTAATTCAAAAATTTTATTTTTGCCATGTTCATCATCCTGCGGAAGCCTTAATTATGACTTCTGTTATATCCCTTAGGAAAGCTCCTGAGTTGCCTTTCTAATACACCCTCAAGTGGACACAGCTCTCAGAAGGGTTCCATATTTATATCCCCACCAAAAGATATCTCAACAGATACGGCTCTATATCAGCCCCTCATTCTTTAACCACAGTGCCAGTCTTCACACATGTACTTGATTTAACCACAATCTCAAGCACATATGGCCACAACTTTAGAACCAGACAGAAATGTACAAATATAACTCTGGGAATTTTCATGGTAATTAACATATTTGATATTAGAGTTACAATTGAATAACAAAAGAAAAATGATTTGAATATCATATTGTAGGCAAATTAGATTTCAGAGTCTAACCTGGGCAACGTTTAGTTTTCAAATGTAAAATTACAAACAAAAGTCTAATAATGACCTTTAATTGTATCATTCCACTTAGACTCAAAGTGAATTGTCAGGCATTTAAGAGGTTTTCTACAAGAGTAGGTTTTTAACTTAAATTTGTAATCAATTTTTAATGAATCATCAGCTTGGTTTATATGTCTCAGGCTATAACCAGTATCTTCAGAAATACAATATTCTAAAATATTATTGGGCATCCAGCACCAGCCATGACTTAAGGATTTATGCTAATCATCATTAGATATTAGGTTTCCAATTGCTATAATCTAAAGATAAAATTAAAGTCAAGAATCATTTTATTTTCAAAGTAATTTGACCTCAAAAAAGTAATCTTAATGAAGGCAACATAATGATTCTTAAGATTCCAATTAATTTTCCATGTGAGCTGTATGGGAATTGAAGCACTAAAATAAAGGAAAAGAAAAATAATAATAATTTAGAATTAATGTTGAGAAAGTTTTCATAGTGAAAGCAATTGCACTTACTAATCTTTTCACCAGAAAAATCATGGAAAACACCAAGTGATTTGTTAGTATTACTACAAGATATATTTTATTAATGGGA